CTCCGCCGCTATCGGATTCCCAATTCGAGAAAGAAGAGAAGGGACCGGGGTCTTCCTCGTCGTTGTTGAGATGTGACGCTGCCTTCGCCACCTTCACCGCCGATACTACTGATCGGTTCCAGAAAAGAAAAGAAAAGATGAGGGGATTAGAGAACGGCGGTTTGTGATAGACGATGTGGCTAGGGTTTGTAAATATAAGATTTGGTAATTAGGGATAATATAGGTATAATTTTTAATAATTGTAATAATATTAATTTAATTAGATAATTAAGGGGGTTCTCACTAATATTGTTAAAGGGTGTAGATCCACCTTAATATATCCTAATGTGTTGAGAGGTTCTCACTAATAATCCCTAAAAAAATAGAAAGACTAATTTGTTTGGCTATTATTAGGGATGGCAATCGGATCATGTGAGTCGAGCTTGGGTTGGCTGATAAGTGTTCGTTTTGCACGATTTTTGCTTATCAAATCTTCGAGTTTTGGTCTTCGTTCGTTCGAGTTTCGGCTTTATTTCTATATATTATTGTGTTTCTTGTTTTATTTCTATTTCAGGGTTTTATTAGATATTTTTGCCGAGTCGAAGCCATTTGAAAGCGAAACCGAATTTTCAAGCCAATTTTGGGGCCAAGAAGACCCAGATCGCGATCTGACATCTCTGGACCGCGATCTGGGGGTTGTCACAGAACGAAAATAGATCAAGACCCAGATCGCGATCTGACATCCTGGATCGCGATCTGAGGGGTCTCACAGTGCTGAAATGTTGAAGACCCAGATCGCGATACACATTTCTGGATCGCGATCTGGCATGGCGGTGGGCAGTTCCCCGAGGCTGCCAGATCGCGATCCAGACAACCCAGATCGCGATCTGGGCACGCCTTTTGAGAAAGATATTTTGTTTGCAAAGCTTCTTGAGGAAGCTTTGCATTTCACTATAAATAGAAAGACCCTTTCATTCTTCATTCTTCTTCGACTTTTTACGGTTTTCGACAGTTCTTCACGGGAATCATCAACGGGGGTTTCGACTTGGGTTTTTCTTACGCAATTTCTTTACGTTTTGTTCTTCATTTCCTTTGTACATTCTTTTGACATTATGTTTGTTATGAACGAAGAACATTTTCTTCTAGTGTAATGAATCCTTGTATATATTGATTTCGATCATCATTTCTGTTATATATTTGTCGTGTTTCGATTTCATTTATGTTTTCCTGTATCAAATGCTTCTGATTGTTTGATCAGCTCTCGGATTGATATTAAATGGGAATGAACTCGAGAGATGATTTCTTGTTTGAAGTTAGGAAAACATAGCTCGGGGTGTGGAAACGGAGACGTGATGCACTTCGGGTAGCCCTTAAGGACTTGACCTAAATGCTCTCTTAATAGCAGGTTCTGAACGGAGACGTCGGACCTGTGGGTAGACTCTAACTACACTGGAGACGGGGGTTAGAGTACTTTAGCGTCTGGGTTAACGAATAGGAATCTGACGTTAGATAGCGGATTTGTAGATCGTTGTTGATTATACATAGGTGGATTTGACCCTAGAAGTCCCTTTTAAATCGAAGTCCCCCGCGTTGAGTTGTCGCTACTTTATTTACGTACATTCTATATTTGCATGTTTACGATCTTGCATGCTTATAAATTAGGGTTTATCACCATTCCAAATATTTACGATCGGCTAGATAATATAACGATAATATAATTACACTACTCAGCATGTGAATCTATAAGGTCCCTGTGGATCGATATCCGTAACCATTGTTCTGCAAAATGCGATACTGTATACTTGCGGTAATTTATACGTGAGGAAAACGCGTATCATTGGCTCAAACTCACATGCCATCGGGTTTGTTACTATAGAAGGCGCAAACTCGACTCATAAATAAATCGGGTTTATTAAAATAGCTCAAACTCAGTTCAACTCACTAAAAAAATAGGCTCGACTCAACTATAATTAGATCGAGCAATCGAAATTCGGCTAGACCTGGCTCAATTACCCTCATGGCTATTATAAACAAAGTCAGTGCACGTTCGAGCTCAAGCATGATGTTTATAAATTGATAAATCTATATGACATTCTACTAATAAGGTACATAGCAGTTGCCTCTTCCCAAAAGTGACTTGTGACATTGGTGTACATAATCTTATAGGGTTGAACCGAAGAATTCATTGACATTATAAAATTACGAGGCTTTAAGACATAGGTCCCTAGTGACAAAATTTATTAGAACTAAATGACAAGGTTAACTAAACCTTTGTTACACATCTTCATAAAATTCATTTCAAAATGCCCTCACATTCACAAACTCGAAATATGCATTAAGTAAAATTTAAATTGCATTTATCATCTTTTTAGTCTGCAATATTTTCATTTTTCCATCTAATATTTTAATTTTTTTTACAAAATACACGTTTTTCTTTCCTTTTGTTTTTTCGTTCTTCATTTTAACATTTTTTACACTATTATAAAACAAAAAAAAAATCCTTTTTTATATAATATGGGAAATTACAAAAAAAAAAAATCATGTTTTTCATTTTTTCTTTGATTCAATTTACATTTTTTTTTTAATTTTATTTGTTGTTAGTACTGTAGTAGACTGTAGTATACTACGGTGTACTGTGGTTTATGGTGTACTATGGTTATTACAGTGTACTATGGTTTACTACGGCGCATTCCAAACCCTAGCATCAAAACAAATTCTCAGCCGTCGGCAAACCCTAGCAGCCAACAATTAGCAGCCACCGCCAACTCCTATCCACCAAACCCTAGCTAGGGATGGCAACGGGTCGTTTCTGGGCCGGGATTGCCTAAATTCGAGACCCGACCCGTGAAAAATATATAAAACCTAGACCGGCCCCAACTCGGTTCAGCTTAGACCCAGACCCGCTGATAAGTGTTCGTTTTGCACGATTTTTGCTTATCAAATCTTCGAGTTTTGGTCTTCGTTCGTCCGAGTTTCGGCTTTATTTGTATATATTATTGCGTTTCTTGTTTTATTTCTATTTCAGGGTTTTATTAGGTATTTTTGCCGAGTCGAAGCCATTTGAAAGCGAAACCGAATTTTCAAGCCAATTTTGGGGCCAAGAAGACCTAGATCGCGATCTGACATCTCTGGATCGCGATCTGGGGGTTGTCACAGTACGAAAATGGATCAAGACCCAGATCGCGATCCATCATTCCGGATCGCGATCTGGGGGTGCTGACAGAGAAGAAATATGGGTCAAATCCAGATCGCGATCTAGGAAGTGGGATCGCGATCTGGGGGGTCCGACAGAGAGTAAATGTTGCAGGACCCAGATCGCGATCCACATTCCTGGATCGCGATCTGGGCACGCCTTTTGAGGAAGATATTTTATTTTGCAAAGCTTCTTGAGGAAGCTTTGCATTTCACTATAAATAGAAAGGCCCTTTCATTCTTCATTCCTTCTTCGACTTTTTACGGTTTTCGACAGTTCTTCGCGGGAATCATCAACGGGGGTTCCGACTTGGGTTTTTCTTACGCAATTTCTTTACGTTTTGTTCTTCATTTCCTTTGTACATTCTTTTGATACTATGTTTGTTATGAACTAAGAACATTTTCTTCTAGGGTAATGAAGCCTTGTACATATTGATTTCGATCGTCATTTCTGTTATCTATTTGTCGTGTTTGGATTTCGTTTATGTTTTCCTGTATTAAATGCTTCTGATTGTTTGATCAGCTCTCGGATTGATATTAGATAGGAATGAACTCGAGAGAGGATTTCTTGTTTGAAGTTAGGAAAACATAGCTCGGGGTGTGGAAACGGAGACGTGATGCACTTCGAGTAGCCCTTAAGGACTTGGCCTAAATGCTCTCTTAATAGCAGGTTCTGAACGGAGACGTCGGACCTGTGGGTAGACTCTAACTACACTGGAGACGGGGGTTAGAGTACATTAGCGTCTGGGTTAACAAATATGAATGTGGCATTAGATAACGGATTTGTAGATCGTTGTTGATTATACCTTCGGTGGATTTGACCCTAGAAGTCCCCTTTAAATCGAAGTCCCCCTGCGTTGAGTTGTGGTTACTTTATTTACGTACATTCTATATTTGCATGTTTACGATCTTGCATGCTTATAAATTTGGGTTTCACAATTCCAAATATTTACGATCGGCTAGATAATATAACGATAATATAATTACACTACTCAGCATGTGAATCTACAAGGTCCCTGTGGATCGATATCCGGAACCACTGTTCTGCAAAATGCGATACTGTATACTTGCGGTAATTTATACGTGAGGAAAACGCGTATCAAGTTTTTGGCGCCGTTGCCGGGGACCAATTTGATTTTATCTTTGTTGATAGTGTTACCAATTATGTGACTATTACTTTAGCTATTTACCTGCTTTATTTGCGATTTCTACGATTTTAACCGATCACTTTGTTTATGCCCAGGCGTCGAAATTTGGAAATCATACCTTACGATCCCGAGATTGAAAGGACATTCCGAAGACGAAGAGCCGCGCGCAACCAACAAAGTGAACCAATGGCCGAAGATCAAGGAAATCCAGAGCACCTGGCCTTTAAGTACGATCGAGAGCCAGGACGAGATCACGAGCAGCCAAGACCGAACCTGCCACCCGAGCGAACAATGCGAGAATACCGAACTCCAGCTGTGAATGAGAACTATTCGGGAATCAGGAAACCGACGATAGCCGCAAGCAACTTCGAGCTGAAGACGGGGCTAATCAACATGGTCATGGCGAACCAATTCTCTGGAGCAGCAACAGCGGATCCGAATCTCCATCTTGCCAATTTCTTGGAGATTTGTGACACGATCAAAGTTAACGGCGTTTCTGATGATGCCATTCGGTTGAAGCTATTCTCATTTTCTGTCAGAGACAAAGCGAAGAGTTGGCTTCTGAGCCTTAATCCAGGATCACTCACCTGTTGGGAAGAATTATCACAAGCCCTTCTGGCACGATTCTTTCCACCCTCGAAGACCGCACAACTACGAAGGGATGTGGGCAACTTCAGATAGATGAGCCAAGAGCCGATGCACGAGTCTTGGGAGAGATTCAAGGACTTATTACGACAATGCCCTCAACACGGATTCAACCCGTGGGATCAAATGGAGTTATTCTACAATGGGCTCGATCAACCAGCCCGATCTCTAGTCGATGCTGCATCAGGTGGATCATTGCAAAACAAGACTCCTACAGACGCTCGAGACATTGTCGAGCGAATGTGTGAGAATGCTTACCATTGGCCGTCCGAACGGAGTGGTGTACAAAAGGTGGCCGGAGTCCACCAACTCGATCCTTTAGCCGCAGTTTCAGCACAATTAGCTACTCTATCAAATCAGGTCGCCCAATTATCAGTTCGAGGGCCACAGACCGAACGAGTAGCAGCAGCAAGTACCTCACAAGCCACAAACGACGATTGGGAGCAGACACACTTTATGAACCACCGATTCAACAATTTCCGGGGAACCAACAATCAGAACCAAAACCCTACTCATTACCACCCGGGAATTCGGAATCACGAGAACTTCTCCTATGTCAATCCAAAGAATGCTCTACAACCACCTCCCGATTTCAACCATCAAAGAGAGCAACGAGGGCCAACGTATGACGAGCGTCTTCACCGACAAGAACAGGAAATGGAGGGCCTGAAATCAACAATGAAGAACATGGAGAAGCAAATAGGGCAAATCGCCCAATCCATGTCCACAATGGCCAAGGGTGGATTTCCGAGCAATACCGAAGTCAATCCAAAAGAAAGTTGTCAAGCCATAACCACCCGAAGTGGTTTTCAAATGACCGATCCTCCTTATCCGACAGACGAGTCACCAAGGCCAGCTGTACAACCGACCCCGGTCGAGCCGGAAATCACCATCTCAGGGAGTAGTACAAAAGAGGCTAGTAAGCCCAATAACATTTCTTTCCCTGATAATCCTCCTCTTATGATAACTCCTATTCCTTTTCCAGAAAGACAGAAGAAGAAGAAGTTCCAGGATCAGTTGAAGAAGTTCATTGAAAAGATCAAACAGATTCGAATCAACATCCCTTTTGTAGAGGCCTTGGAGGTAATGCCAAACTACACCAAGTTTATGAAGGAAGTCCTATCCAAGAAAATTCGGATCGAAGAAGACATACCAGTGACACTCACGGCAACTTGCAGTGCCATTCTTCAGTCGAATCTACCACCGAAAATGAAAGATCCAGGGAGTTACACTATTCCTTGTATTATTGGAAATTCTACTTTCGATAAAGCTTGATGTGATTTGGGGGCAAGTATTAATTTGATGCCTATGTCTGTGTTTCTAAAACTGGGCTTAGGAAATTTGAACCGCACTCGCATGACTTTACAACTAGCTGATCGTTCATTGAAAGATGGGATTGTAGAAGATGTGCTAGTTAAAGTAGATAAATTCATTTTGCCTGTTGATTTTGTGGTACTTGAAATGCCTGAAGATGATGAATCACCAATCATTTTAGGTCGTCCATTCTTAGCCACTGGTAAGGCGATGATAGGTATGGAATTAGGATCTTTAATGCTTAGGGTAAATGGGGAAAAAGTTATTTTTAATTTGACAAATGCATTTAAACACTCTGAGCATATTGAGCATTGCAGTAGAATAGACGTGATCGAGGACTGTGTTTCCTCCTTTTTTGATTTGTATGAATTGTGTGATTCTGTTGAGCACTGCATTGTTAATTCTATTGATTTGCATTTTGCCTCCCCTGAAACTCCTATTGAAAATGATGTGCTTGATTGTGTGTTGTTTCTTGAGTGTGCCAAGATTTTAGGCGTAGACGAGGTAGGAATCGTCCCCGAGATACCAGTTAGTGTGAAAACAACCCCCTGGAATTGAAGCAATTACCGGATTATCTTTGTTATGCTTTTCTTGGAGCAGACAAGACTTATCCGGTGATTATTTCTTCTAGTTTGAGCGAGGCCGAAACAAGCACACTGCTGGAGGTCCTTAGAGAATATAGGTCAGCTATAGGTTGGTCTATTGAGGATATTAAGGGAATTAGCCCGTCTATTGTTCAACACAAAATGCTAATGGAAGACGTCTATAAACCGAGAGTCCAACCTCAGAGGCGGTTAAACCCGTCAATGAAAGAGGTAGTCAAAAAAGAAGTCTTAAAACTGTTAGGCGCTGGTATGATTTATGCAATTTCTGACAGTCCGTGGGTCAGTCCGGTGCAGGTTGTGCCAAAAAGGGGTGGGATGACGGTTATTGTGAATGATAAAAATGAACTTATTCCGTCTAGAACAGTCACTGGGTGGCGTGTGTGTTTCGATTACCGATTATTGAATGCTGCCACTAGAAAAGACCATTTCCCCCTTCCCTTTATCGATCAAATGCTAGACAGGCTAGGAGGTTTCGAGTATTACTGTTTTCTTGATGGTTATTCGGGGTACAATCAAATTTCAATCGCCTCGGAAGACCAAGAGAAAACTACTTTTACTTGCCCCTACGGTACTTTTGCATTTCATAGGATGCCTTTCGGTTTGTGTAATGCGCCTGCTACCTTTCAACGATGTATGATGTCTATATTTCACGATATGGTAGAAGAATTTCTTGAGGTGTTTATGGATGATTTTTCTGTGTTTGGATCGTCTTTCGATCATTGTGTGCACAATCTAGAACTTGTTTTGAAAAGATGTACAGAAACGAACCTTGTTTTAAATTGGGAAAAATGTCATTTTATGGTTCGTGAAGGCATTGTTCTAGGTCACAAAGTCTCAAAAAAAGGGTCTTGAGGTGGACAGGGCAAAAATCGAAACGATTGAAAAATTTCCTCCACCGAAGGATGTTAAGGGGGTTAGAAGTTTTTTAGGGCATGCTGGGTTTTACTGTAGATTCATAAAAGATTTTTCGAAAATAGTAAAACCATTATGTCATTTACTTGAGAATTAAGCAGTCTTTGATTTTGATTCTGCTTGTTTGCAGGCTTTCACGTTTCTCAAGGAGAAGCTAACCCAATCACCGATTATGATTACTCCCAATTGGGAGAAACCATTCGAGATCATGTGCGATGCGAGCGACTATGCTGTAGGTGCAGTATTGGGACAAATGAGGGACAAAATCTTCAAAGCCATTTACTATTCGAGTCGTACACTTGACGAGGCACGGAAGAATTATTCAACGACCGAAAAGGAAATGCTTGCTGTCGTTTATGCCGTTGACAAGTTCATACCGTATATTTTGGGGTCTCAGGTGATCATTTACACCGACCACACAGCTATTCGATACTTGTTCGCAAAGAAGGACGCCAAGCCCAGACTCATCAGATGGGTACTCCTACTCCAGGAGTTCGACCTGGAATCAGAGACAAAAAGGGGAGCGAGAATGTGGTAGCAGATCATCTTTCCAGACTCATACTAGAAGAAGTTCCAGCCGAAGGAAATATTCAGGAATCCTTCCCAGACGAGCAACTGCTCGCCATTAGTACTCACACTCCGTGGTATGCTGATGTGGCCAACTTCTTGGCCAGTGGAATCATTCCTGACGATCTATCTTATCACCAAAAGAAAAAATTCCTTCACGACAGTCGTTTCTATCTATGGGACGAGCCGTTGCTTTTCAGAACCGGCCCCGATCGTGTCATCCGAAGATGTGTTCCGGAAACAGAAGTACGTGAGATTCTCACACATTGCCACTCTTCACCTTGTGGCGGGCATCACGGGGAATCTCGCACAGCAGCCAAGGTTCTGCAGTCAGGCTTCTTTTGGCCTACCCTTTTCCGAGATAGTAACGAGTTCGTGAAACGGTGTGATCGATGCCAACGAACAGGGAACCTATCCAACAAAAGCCAAATGCCTTTGAACAACATGCAAGAGGTGGAGCTTTTCGATGTTTGGGGCGTTGACTTCATGGGACCATTCCCTTCTTCGAACGGGAAGTTATACATTCTGCTTGCCGTGGACTACGTGTCCAAATGGGTCGAAGCAATTGCCACCACTGCCAACGATGCTCGTACAGTCCTCAAATTCTTCCACAAGAACATATTCTCAAGGTTTGGGACACCTAGGGCGATCATTAGCGATGAAGGATTTCACTTCTGCAACAAACTGCTCACTAATCTCACGAATAAGTTGGGGATCCGACACAAATAGCGCTTGCCTATCATCCGCAAACAAATGGCCTTGCTGAGTTGTCAAACCGAGAAATCAAACAGATTCTGGAGAAGACCGTGAGCACGAACCGAAAAGATTGGGCGTTGAAGCTCGATGATGCACTTTGGGCCTATCGAACCGCATTCAAGACACCGATTGGGATGTCTCCGTACAAACTCGTGTATGGGAAAGCGTGCCACCTGCCAGTGGAATTGGAGCACCGAGCATATTGGGCAGTCAAAAAGCTCAATTTTGGTCAAACAGCCACCGGTGATCGTCGATTGCTTCAACTCAACGAAATGGAGGAGTTCAGAAACGATGCTTACGAAAATGCCAAGATTTACAAAGAAAAGACGAAAAAGTGGCATGACAAAAGGATTGCAAAGCGAGAGTTCCGGGCAGGTGACCAAGTCTTGCTATTCAATTCTCGGCTACGACTATTTCCGGGAAAGCTCAAGTCCCGTTGGTCAGGACCATTCGTAGTCCGGAGCGCAACCCCACAAGGAGTTATCGAAATATGAGGACGAGACGGTCCGTCGTTCAAAGTGAATGGGCAACGAGTTAAGCATTACTATCCAAATGGTGCTCCCGAGGAAGTGGAGCGTGTCGCACTAATTTTCTCCCAATAAATCCAAAAGAAGTCGAGCCGTCGACTGTAAAACAGGCGCTAAATGGGAGGCACCCCATTATTGCTCATTCTCTGTCATTTTTCTTTTGTTCTTGCTTTCGTTTTCGTTTTTAGTCTTTTCTTGCATTTTTATATTTTTTTGGGTTCAATATCTCTATCTCACCCGTTTAAATTTCAAATTTTGTGCAGATTACAAGACCCAGATCGCGATCCAGAAAGCCGGATCACGATCTGGGGGGTCCTACAGAGAAGAAATTGAGGTAAATCCAGATCGCGATCCAGGAAGTCGGATCGCGATCTGGGGGGTCTGACAGAGAGCAAAGTGGGGTAAATCCAGATCGCGATCCAGAAAGCCGGATCGCGATCTGGGGGGTCTGACAGAGAACAAAGTGGGGTAAATCCAGATCGCGATCCAGAAAGTCGGATCGCGATCTGGGGGCTCTTACAGAGAGCAAATAGGTAGTAGACCCAGATCGCGATCCGGCTCTTCGAGATCGCGATCTGGGGGAAAAAAACTGTACTTATTCGAAAAAATAAACCCTCTTTTTCTCACTTCTTTCTTTTACAAAACTCGAAACCCCTTTCCCCCAACCCTAGAACTTCGATTTTCTTTCAAATTTCCTCTTCAAACTTGCATATTCTTAGATTTTTATCAACTATTAACGATTATTGCTTGTTTATATTGAGAATTGTGGACGAATCTTCAACAAAGGTATGTTCTTGACCCAATTTTTTTAGTGCTTGAAAATTCGAATTTCATCCAATTTTCTTGTCTTGTCCCTTGGTTCTTCAATTCTTATTGCTTGTACGTAATTAGGTACTTGATTTTGGGATTTAAAGGCTTGTTTAATTGGTTGAACCAATGTTTAGATATAGGAATTGCCCTATTATGCTTAATTTCGAATTTCTTGTGAATTTTTGAATGGGTCGAGTCATATTATGCTAATTTTTGCTCGTTGATCGTTATTAATTGTTGTTGTTGTGGTGATTGATGTAGGAGGGTTAGTTTTCGAAAGAAACTAACATTCAAGGAGTTTCAAAGAACTTGCGCACGCCAAGTGTTCGACGAATTGCCCGAACCAGTTTCAAGTTTCATTTTGCACCCTCATTCACACCATGACTTCACCGGCAAACAAACTCCAAAAGACGGGTGAGAATACCAAGAAAGCCCAACCGAAGGGCAAAGGAAAAGCACCGGAAAAAAAGAAGGGCAAGGCTCAAGGCAAAACGGGGGGAGAAGGCTCTTCACTCTCGCCTTCACATTCGGAGGGACCAACCGAGCAAGCCATGCCAAGAACCGGTGACGTGCCACTCAACACGGGCGCCCGTGCCAATCAACGCACGCTCGTGAGCGAAGTCACCTTTGACGAACTCGATGAAGACATCTATGTGAATGTCGAAGCCAAGAGCGAATTCATCGACCGCCTCCCTCGTCCGATCGTCCCAGAGCGTGAGTTGTGTGTCCGTACGATTGGATGCCCCTCGGTCGTCAACAACATCCACGAAAGGTGGTGGAGAGCACTCGTCGACAAACCGGGCACCTACAACGAGAACTTGGTCCGGCTCTTCTACGCCAATGCCGGTCAGTACAAAGGCTCGGTGGTTTTCATCCGGGGCGTCGAAGTTCGTTATGACGCAGAAGCCATCAACCGAGTCTACAAGCTGGCCCCCACCCCCCCCACCCCCCCCCCCCGTGTTCCGGACATCCCGACCGAGCCGTTCCAGACACTAAAGATGGAGACGACGTACATGGACCTCATTCAGGCCCTGTGCCCCCGAGGATCGTATTGGGCAAAAGGAGATAAGTCGTTCTATCGAGCCGAGCTCTCGAGGGAGGCAAAGATTTGGATGTATTTCGTCTGCTCCCGACTCATGCCGACGGTTGCAACGGCCAAGCCCTATGCCACTCGCCTCACGTTGATTTACGCAATCATGAAGGGCACCCCTCTGAATGTGGGTGCCATTATCCACTCAGAGATTCGACGGTGCATGGGCGACACCTCTTTGGGCCCGATGTTCCCCTCCCTCATCACCACCTTATGCAAAAATGCCAACGTGGCGATGTTTGCCGACGACAAGGTCACAAAGGCTCCGAAGCCAATCTTCCCGTTCGACAAGCTCCAGCCAGCTTCCGGTCCACAGGGCGAGGGCGATGGCCCTGAGCCAGACGCGCCACCATTCGAGGATTCCCGACCAGCCCGAGCCGGACCACGAGGCGGCAAAAGACAGCAGACAGCAGCAGCAGCAGCTCCGCCACTTCCGGAGTATATAACCGAGTGGATGGATGCCATGGAGGAGAACGTGGGCTGGTTCAAGAAGATGATCAAGGTGATGGCAGTAGCACTCCAGTGCAGGACGGACGACGTCGTCGAGCCACGACCATTCCCACCACGGCCTCGTTTTGACGGAGCATCTACCTCCACCGCAGCCGCAGAAGAAGCTGCACGAGCGGCAGCCACCACACTGGTGAGGCCCGTCTGGGAGGAGCATGAGCGTGGACTTCGAGAGGACGAGGACCAAGCTATCGAGGAAGACCATGACTTCTAGGGACGTTGTGTTTTCTATCCCTTTTATTTTTTATTCTGCTTTTGAGCAAGGGACTATGCTAGAGTTTGAGTTTGAGGGTGGTGTTTGTTGAACCTCTTTGTTTTTGTTTTTGTTTTTGTTTTTAGTTCGTTTGTTTTGGAATAAGTCGTTGGATTGATATTTCGTTTACGATGTATCTTTGCTAGACTTTGTTTTTATTTTATTTTATTTATCTTATTTTGATTTGGTCTTTTGCATGCATATCATATAATTTAATTTCGTTTATGTATTTTGATTTCCGTAATTGTATTATGTTTGTCACATGCATTTCATTTAGGATCGAGTGTAATTTGCATTTCCGGGTTCTATTGAAGCAAAGCAATTAATGAATTAGTAGATGGGCTAGTTGATTTTAAAATTGAAATTGTGGATAACCGGCTAATAATAGATGAACCTTCCGACTGCGTTTTTGCAACTTGTGTGGATAGCCTTTCGAATCCTTTCCGATTAAGCTTGAGCGCACTTTTCTGAGGGGTATAATAGCCTGAGGTTTGGGGGGCGAGTTAGAATTGAATTATGTGTTCACGATTTCGAGTTGTTGGCTAAAAGTTCTATCAATGGTCTTTACGTTTTTATTTTACGTCAAAAAAAAAAAAAAGAAAAAAAAAAAGAAAAAAAAAAGAAAAAAAAAAAGAAATAAAAAGAAGAAAGTTGTGATGAAAATCACAAAATATTGTTGTTGTCATTTCTTCTTGAATAAATAGACCTACTTATGCCCAACTCGAGTTTTTGAATTTCAGAATCAAAACTTGCTTTTCACCCACATTTCTACTCAAAACCCTCGATGATTGTGTTTATTGTTTAATTACGGATTCTTCAGTCTATCTTTCATTTTGGTGTCGAAACAACTAATTGCATCGGTAGGAAAGTCGAATACCTTAGGACGTATGCCATTTTGAGATTTTAGGTTATCTAGCTCGTTTTATCTTTGGAATTAATTTCAATGCTTTGACCAATCCGGCAACTTTGTGGGTGTGTTGTCTGAAAACCCTCACGAGACACAACTCGTCCTTTGGGGGTACCCAGGGGTTCAAAGGCTTGTTGTATACGCTAAATGCAATCGTGATTCCCTACGTTAGTGGCCTAGTTTAGTTTGTTGTTTTTATTTCCTTTTTGTTGTGTTTCGTTTTGATGTACTCGGGACGAGTAAAGATCTAAGTTTGAGGGTGTGATAAGTGTTCGTTTTGCACGATTTTCAATTCTTCGAGTTTTGGTCTTCGTTCGTCCGAGTTTTCGGCTTTATTTGTATATATTATGTTGTTTTTGTTTTATTTATATTTTAGGTAAAGAGAAGCTATTTTTGCCGATTCGAAACGATTTTGGAAGCGAAGCCGAAAATCAAACCAAACACGTGCAAAAGTGCATTATCGCGGGTGTGGAACTGTTTCGTATTTCAAGCGTAACTTTTGCATACGACCTCCGATTGAGCTGATTCAAGTGGCCTTAGAAAGCTCACTTCAAGATCTACAACTTTTGTGAAATGAAAAATTGTCAAATTCGGGCTAAAAAAGGGTCAAAACAGTGTTTGAAGTTGGCGCAGAAGCCCAGATCGCGATCCAGCCTTCCTGGATCAGGACCCAGATCGCGATCCAGCCTTCCTGGATCGCGATCTGGGGGGTCTCACGGTACATTTTTTGATCAAGAACCAGATCGCGATCCACCATTCCCGTATTGCGATCTCGAAAGGCGGTGCGCAGTTTCCAAGCCTGCCAGATCGCGATCCAAGAAGCCCAGATCGCGATCTGGGCACAGAATTCGAGACAAGATATTTTTCTTTGATTTCCTACTATAAATAGAAGGTCTCTTCTTCATTTTTAGAATTCTCGATTATCTTTCGACTTCTTCTTCGGTTTTCTCTTCGGTTTTCGCCAGTTCTCCGCGGGAAGCTTCGACGAGGGTTTCGACTCGGGTTTTTCATAAGCTTTTCTTTACGTTTAGTTTATAATTTCTCGTGTTCTTCATTTTGATGCTATGTTTGTAATGAACTAAGCATTTTCTTCTAGGGAAATGAAACCTTGTATATATTGATTTTGATTTCCAGATCTGTGATCTATTTGTCGTTCTTTGATTCTGTTTATGTTTTCCTGTATTAAATGCTTTCGATTGTTTGGCCAACAGTTGAATTGATTGTAAATGGGAATGAACTCGAGAGAGGATTTCTCGTTTGATTTTAGGAAAACATAGCTCGGGTTGTGGAAACAGAGACGTGATGCACCTCGGGTAGCCCTTAAGGACTTGACCTAAATGCTCTCTTAATATCAGGTTCTGAACGGAGACGTCGGACCTGTGGGTAGACTCTAACTACACTGGAGACGGGGGTTAGGGTACTTTAGTGACTGGGTTAGCGAATATAGAATTGACATTAGATTCGGATCTGTAGATCTTTATCGATAGTACACTGGTGGATTTTACCCTAGAAGCCATCACACGTCGGAATTCCTCGCTTTTACTGGCGGACCGTTGTTTTTAGTATTGTTTCCTTTTAGCTTCATATCATCCCCCATCCATTTCTCATCGTCTAGATAAAGTTTAGGATAATATAATTACGGTACTTGGTAAATTTAGAAACTTAATTCCCTGTGGATCGATATCTGGAATTCACTATTCTACAAAACGCGATACTGTACACTTGCGGTTATTTATACGTAGGTTTTACGCGTATCAAGTTTTTGGCGCCGTTGCCGAGGATCGAACCCGGGTCACCCGCGTGACAGGCGGGAATACTTACCACTATACTACAACGACATTTACTCTCTGTCGGACCCCCATTATTTATTTTTCGTCATTTATTTTGTTAGTTCTCTTTTATTTTTGCATTTTTTGGTTTAAATCTAAATTTCACATGCATTTCATTTAGGATCGAGTGTAAGTTGCATTTCCGGATTCTATTGAAGCAAAGCAATTAATGAATTAGTAAACTGGCTAGTTGATTTTAAAATTGAAATTGTGGATAACCGGATAATAATAGATGAACCTTCCGACTGCGTTTTTGCAACTTGTGTGAATAGCCTTTCGAATCCTTTCCGATTAAGTTTGAGCGCACTTTTCTGAGGGGTATAATAGCCTGAGGTTTGGGGGGCGAGTTAGAATTGAATTATGTGTTCACGATTTCGATTTGTTGGCTAAAAGTTCTATTAATGGTCTTTACGTTTTTATTTTACGTCAAAAAAAAAAAAAAAGAAAAAAAAAGAAAAAAAAAAAAAGAAAAAAAGAATAAATAAATAAATAAATAAAAAGAAGAAAGTTGTGATGAAAATCACAAAATATTGTTGTTGTCATTTCTTCTTGAATAAATAGACCTACTTATGCCCAACTCGAGTTTTTGAATTTCAGAATCAAAACTTGCTTTTCACCCACATTTGTACTCAAAACCCTCGATGATTGTGTTTATTGTTTAATTACGGATTCTTGAGTCTATCT